GAAGGCCCTCTATGAGGTGGATTGATTCAGTGACTGGGATAATTGGGATGGGAGTGTCAGAGACAGTGCGATTGGCACAGGACAGAGCGGAGTTTAAGGCTGTTGTACATAGGGTCTCTATGAGTCGCAGGCAACTCGACGGCACATAACAACAACAACAACAACAATATGATAGTTAATGTGAGTTGTAGTGAAAAAGGAGAACAGCAAAAAGAGAAATAAAGCATATTTAAAGGCCAGTTAACACTGTTTCTTGAGTTACACATTCTTTGTTTATTAAAAATTTTTCATGATTGCTAACCTACTTCTAAGATTTTGTAACATTACATTGAGATACTGTTTAATCTCATGCCAATAATCCATTATTTTAATAGTATAGTTTTATTATATGTTTAGGTATTTGGTATTATGAGTGTCTCTTATTCATTTTATTTTTTTATCTTCTAGTTTATTATTATCTTGATGGAACTTTAATAACATTTACTCAAGTTGCAATTTTTGTACAAATTATGTTCAATAAATAAATTAATTTGAGTAAGCAATGACATCTTTACAACATTGTTTTACACTCTAAGAACAAAACATAGCTCTGTTTAATCAAGTGTTCTTTTATGTACCTCAATGAAGTTATTTTAGTGTAGGTTCTGCTCAACAAAAATTGTCATTTTATTAACTTGTATATAATTGCTGATATTTTTAGTATTTTCAGCTTTATCTAAAATACCACATTGCTTCTTGGAAAAGAGTTGTATCACTATATTTGGTTGCATCATCTGGTTGGACCAAATTATTATACCTTGTTCTTGTTGTTGTTATTATGTACCATCAAGTCAGAACCAACTCATAGTTGACCCTCCAGTGGGTTTCAGAGGCTGTGAATTACACAGGAGGAGATCACCTATATTTATCCTGTAGAACAACTTATGGATTCAAACTGTGTTCCTTTGGGTTGGCAATGCAGCTCCTTACCACTAAGTAACCAGAGCTTTTTCTAGTATCCCCACAAAATCCTTATATTAAAGTATTTTCATTCTAACCCCAGAATTTGGATTCTCCAATGAGTATAAGAGAAGCTTTTTAGGAGATGGTCAACATTTACCTTTTCATTTTAAAAAGAACCTTTTGGATATAGGGAATAAAAATATTCACTAATATTTGTATTTCTAAATATGTATGGCCTGTTATTAAGAATAGTTCACCAAAATAGTAAGATGAATGTTTCTTCTCATTAAAACTGGTATTATGAAAGAAAAAAAAAGCCCTCTTTTTGTTTAGTTGTGGGGAGTTTTTTTAAGAACTGTTTTAACAGGTTCAAGTAGTCACTTATTCTCTTATTTGACATCATCCTCTAGCTTCAGACTAGCTAATCTAAGCTTAACAAAGTTTACCAGATCCAGAGAAAAGTTTTACTAAATTCCAGTTTTATTCTGAGGGTTGTGTAGGTAGAAATTATAAACATAGAATTGCTTTACATTAATATATTAGTAGTAACAAATATTTTTCCTGTCTTAATAGGGAGATCGTGGCCCTGTTGGTCCCCCAGGAGTAGCTGGAATATCGGTGAGTCCATGTTATTTCATATTGATGTCATGGTTAAACAGTTCTAGTCCCTGGAATCACCAGGAGTCGGGATCAACTCCCTAGCAATTACAACAAGCTCCACAGTAAACCTGCCCAAGAACCTGTCAGGATTTAGTTGTTTCCAATGTGTACCTGGACAAAACAGAGCTTCCCCAAAGAGTTTCCATCATGGTACTATGAATAGAGACAGACTGCCAGATCTTTCTTCTGCTGAACAGCTGGTGGACTGGAGGATTGATTCAGTGACTGGGGTACTGGGAGTAGGTGTGTCAGAGACCATAATATTGGCACAGGATAGAGCAGGGTTTAGGGTTGTTGTACATAGAGTCTCTATGAGTCACAGGTGACTCTATAGCTCTCTCTATTAATCTATCAATCATTATCTATCTATCTATCTATCTATCTATCTATCTATCTATCTATCTATCTATCTATCTATATCTATCATCATCATCTATTTCTCCAAGGCACTAAGGCAGCTTGTCTCTGGCTGTTCGAATCTCTCAGCTGTTCTGTCAGAGAAAGATGAACAATTTCTTCTTGTCACAATTTATAACTTGGAAGCTCAGATGGACATTCCTGAGTTGGAACTGACTAGATGACAGTGAATGCTTAAGTTTATAGAAAATTCTGAAATGCTTGCTAAAAGGAAGGCTTTTGCTTTTGCCATTATAGTCATGCTAAGACCAGCTAGTGAATGTCTTCTTCTAAAGTGGATGTACTGTCAAGTTGGAACAGCCTCCTGGCTAACTCTCCAGCAGGTTTTCAGGAGCTGTAAATGGCATGGGAGGGGAATACACATCTTTCTCCTGATGAGCAGCTGGAGTGTACAAACCGTGTGCATTTTTGGCTGACAGTGGACCTTCCTATGCCTAGGCTGTGAGAGCTCCCTATATTGTGGATGTCATTATTGTGATGTGCTCTTGAGTCAGAACTTTCTCATAGCGGACCCATCAGTGGGTCTTCAGTGTTATTAATTGACTGAGAGGAGATTACTCATATTTCCCCCATGAAGCAATTGGTGGATACGAACTGTGTGCTTCAGGGTTGGCAAAGCAACTTCTTAATTATTAGGCCACCAGAGCTCCCTAGATTATGGATTGATTTTGATATATTGTTATCAGACTGAGCAGTTAGTGAAACCTATGGAGCAGAAAGGGCTTCTGGCCCTGTCAATGATGGTGGAGTTAGGAGCTAGTGAGTGGCCTTGGGTGGTGAGGCTTTTAATACTTCTCATGTTCCTATGACTCAAGCCTAGGGTTTCCACTGATGTTATCTTGGAACCCCCCTCTACCCCCTGCCCTGGCTCCCCTGCAGGAGCACCTACTAAGAGGATAAATGGCCTCTTACTCATAATGTGTGGCCACAAAATTTTAATTAGAGCCTCCTGTAAGGAGATCAGAATGATCCCCAGGGCTCAGGGAAATGATTTCAACCTTTCCTGAAGTACTTCCTATTCATTTGAAAAGACCTTGATGAGATTAAAACATTTGACACCAGAGAGCAACAAAGATGATTGAGAGGATTGAAGAGCTAGTTTAAGAGGAAACATTAGCAGCAGTAAAGCTGTGTGAATTACACCTGGCTAAGGGGAAAACCAGGGTGCACTGACTTGGAGTAGATGTCACCGTTTTTATTTTTTTTTAAAGGAGAAATGAGATTACAGCTTTGTATAAAAAACTGCAAGAACTTGTCTGAGGATGAGGATGTTGCCTTTTGAGGATCAAGAATCATGAAATATGATGAAAATACAGGGGGAAAACCCCCTTTTAAGGCTTATTTATATTAATGCATGGTTACAGGTTAACAATAATTTAGCCCCTTACTTCTCGACTGAAATAAAAACCACAGGAAAAATATTAAGAAAGAGATGGGGGAAATGGAGCATTCCTGAGTTTGAAGTTTTGTTTCTTAAACTGGAAATTATAGAAAATTACCTAGGAATTATGCTGTGCTCACTGGTAGTAGGTTTAGAAGGAACCCTGGTGATTCAGTGGTTAAGTGCTTGGTTGTTAACAGAAAAGTTGGTCTTCCTCTCCTGCGCTGTCCCTCCACCCTCCCAAGCATGACGTCGCTCTCCAAGGACTGGTCCCTCCTTGCAACAGGTCCAAAGTATTTCAGAAGAAGCTTCAGAATCCTTGCCTCTCTAGGATGAACCTGTTTTTTTTATCCCCAGCAGTCCATGGAATATTCAATACTCTTCTCCAGCATCACAATTCAAAGGCATCAATTTTCCTTCCATCATCCCTAGTCATTGTCCAGCTTTCTGATGTATAGCAAATAATTGTAAAGACTATAGCCTGGATCAGACACATGCTAGTCCCCATACTGACATCATTGCTATTCAGTACTTTGGAGCAGTCTCTGACAGCAGGCTTATCCAATGCAATACATCTTTTAATTTCCTGGCTACTGGTACTAAGACTGTTGATTGTGTAGCCAAGCAAACTAAAACTGTTAACAATCTCAGCCTCTTTACCATCTATCATGATGCTGCCAGCAAAGGTACAACAGTTCAAATCCATCAGTTGTTCTGCGGGAGAAAGGTAGACAGTCTCCTCTTTTGTAATTTACTACCTCTGAAAACCTCTTGAAGGGTCAGCTATGAGTCAGTTTTAACTCGATAATACAGTGGCAACTACAACAACAATATGTATTTATGTATATGTTGTTGTTGTTCTTGATTGCCTTAGAGTTGAGCATGACTCATAGTGACCCTATGAACAAAAGGCCTGAAGCCCCTCTATGTCTATCGACATTTATCAAAGTTCATAGAGTTTCCCGAGGCATGTTATTTAGGAAATGGATATGTGTGTGTGTGTGTGTGTGTGTGTGTGTGTGTGTGTGTGTGTGTACTTTTAAAAACAGAGTATTAATTGACATTACAGAAATAGGCAACTATATCATTTTTAATTTTTTTTATTTTCTATAACTAAACCTTATTGTGACTCAAAATGTAAAATCATTAAAAGGAGACTATTGTGGTTGTAGCAGGACTAAAGGCAGCCCATTCAGACATGGTGTTCGCTCTGCTGTGGGACACACTTCTGGCCTCCCTAGAATAGGCCACTCTAACTCATGTTCAGCCCTGTCAGGATTTCTGTACGGCCTCTTTGTCCCTGCTCCCAGGATGGCAAATGGTTTCTACACATTTGGAAGTGGGTAGGGTCTCCGGTCACCATGTTCTCGCCAAGTGCTCTAAGGCCTCTGTTGGCCCTATCTGTCCTCTGGACCTGCTTACTGCCTGTATATCACAGGTCAGGAGGCCTGAGCACTTCACACCCCCATGTCCTCTCCTCAAGACCCTTCTAGACATTGATAATCTTAGATCTGGCATATCGCCTACCTTGAACCCAGAGGACTTTGGGAATTTTTTCTCTCTCTCATACACACACAATTTATGGAGTGCCAGGAATGTCTTTCAGGACTGTATCTCCCTTTAGTGCACACTCACCCATTTCAGTGTCTGTGAGATTCTAAACAAGTGAGGGAAAGCCCTTCATTTTCAGATCCCCACCCCCACTAGAGTTATGGTTTCACACCTACATCCCCAGCTTGTCTACATTTACAAACCGTATTAGGTCCAAGGAGGGGGACAGAGGGACTTCCTCAGAGATCAGGCAGCCTCTTAAGCCTGGCCTAAACACTTTGGCATTTCTCCACTTTCAGTTTCTGCTGGACCACCATCCTCTATCATCCATCACTTCCCCCTCAATCCTGTGTTCTCTCTGCTCCAGGATCTCTCTGTGGTCAGTTCCAGAATACAGCATCTTGGGATAAACTTGTTTTTTTCTCTCCCTCTCAATAAAACAATGCTTTTCAAGTGAAATGTGCTTGCTTTCAAGATCTCTTACTGTGAATTTAGAAATCTGCTTGTGGAACTCAAAACTAAGCAAAGACTTCTCTTCCACAGTGTTCTCCCTATTCCTGAAATAAAGAAGAGCTGCCAGGCAAATAGAGATTTTCAGTAAGAAAGGTTCATTTTCAGAAACCTTATCTTTCCCTCGTGTCTCCCATATTATACATGTATATACACATTCCCACAATTTATTATTTTTTTTTAAGAATCCAATTTTAGTTCAGGGACTGTGAGTATGTGTGGCAGCACATTCATTTCTCAAAAAGGGACAGTGAGCATATGATGTCATCCAGTAATCCGACTGATAACATTTCTCTTTTATTTGCTTTACCAGGGAAAGCCTGGCACCCCAGGCCCTCCAGGAGTCCCCGGGGAACCAGTAAGTTGTCACTTAATAATTTGCTTCCTTGAAATTTCTTAACAGTTGTACTTGCATGTACTTGGTTACCCACAGAGTCTCAAATGGACTCAAAGGATCCTGGCCTTTTATTCTAGAACAAAAGTTACTTAGAACAGGTGTATAGATGAGAAAACTTTCTTTTTACTTGAATTACATTAAGTAAAATGAAGACTAAGGCTAACTCTGTGGGGGGAAAAGCCATTGCAGAGATGGGAAGTTTTGAGGAAGTATTTGTAGGTTAGGTTAAGAATGTGGGGAAAGACTTACATTTATTTAGCACTTTCAGGAGGGAAAGCAGATTACCTGAGAAAAAGTGGTTTTATGGATTTATCAAGCAAGTCAGGAGGTACACACAGCTGATTTTCAAGATGGAATCTGTCTAGTTAGGTGCTTGTCATCAGGTGCTGTATGCTGCTCTTTTCCTCTTTGTAGCTACTGTCTCTGGAAGGTCATGTGTGGGTCACTCTTTTTGCTTCTAGGCATGCATGGTACCTGAAAGCTCTGATATACTTTTTTTTAATTATTATTCAATTTTATTAATTTTAATGAACATTTACAGGGATTTTGGGTCTTCACTCCTTCACTGCTGCACCATTTTCTCTACCCTCCTCCCCAGTTTGTTCTTCTTCCCCCGCCATCCGAATGTCTGTTTTAATTGGCCAATTGCCACAGTGCTTGTCAAAGTCAGTTCTGATTAATCTCCTTTGTCATTGTGTCCCTTGCCATTCCCTATCACTCCTCCCTGAGAGAGACTTCACCCTGATTCATAAAGAAAAGGGGATGGTGTATTCTCTTAGCTACTTCCTGCTGAAAAGGGACGCTGTGGGTTTCAGGGTGAAGATCTTCTCTCACTACTCTAAAGGGCCCCTTTGGCAGTAGGAAACACATAGACTATTATGGAGATTGATTTTGGAATTTAGATGCATTGTTGTTAATTGTGCTTAGCCGTACATGTTCATATCCTTGAAGATGTATCATGGGGGGGTTGCAACCTAGAAGACACAAATTTAACTAACAAGTTATAAGTACATGAGTCAAAAATTATGGAAAAGTAAAAGAAAAGATTCTTTCATTGTTTTACAAACCCTCCCCCAGGTCCCCTCCACCATGGAGCCATCGCTCTAGACTCCTGTGATGACAGAAATACCTAGTCACATATCTTTTTTAAACAGTTTTCTCCCTCCTCTGTTTCAGTGCAATATACATTATTGAACCCATCTTACTCAGTCTCTCCCCAACCCCAAGGTTAGTCCCATTCTACAACAGTGGCATCATGTAATATTTGTCTCCACAACCTCGCCAGCATTTGTTGCTTGCTGTTCGGTTAAATTTTGCTATTTTGACTGGGGTGAGATGATATCTCATAGTTGTTTTAATTTGCATCTCTCTTAGGGCTAGGGATTTTGAGCATTTCTTCATGTGCTTGTTAGCCATCTGAATGTCGTCTTCGGTGAAGTGCCTGTTCATATCCTGTGCCCATTTTTCTATTGGATTATTTACCTTTATCTTGTTGTGGTGCTCAAGTATTTCATAAATTCTGGATATAAGTCCCTTATCTGATATGTTATTACCGAATACTTTTTCCCAGTCAGTGGCTTCCCTTTTTACCCTACTGGAGAAGTTTTTGGATGTGCATAGGGATTTGAGTCTTAGAAGATCCCATTCATCTACGTTATCTTCTCCTGGTTGTAGGTTTTCCAGGATACTGGGAAGACTGTTATGTTGTGGATTAGGACTTCTAGTGCTGTTCCTAGCTTTTCTGTAATGAAGTTTATAGTCCTTGGTTTTAGTCCTAGGTCCATGATCCACCTTGAGTTGGTTTTTTTGTCTATGGAGTGAGGTGTGGGTCTTGCTTGAGTCTTTTGCAGATATTTTCCCAATTTTGCCAACCCCATTTGTTAAAAAGGCTGTCATTTCCCCACTTCACTGATTTCATCTCCTTGTCAAAAATCAGTTGACCATAGATAGATGGGTTGATCTCTGGATTCTCAATTCTATTCCATTGATCTATGTGTCTGTCATTGTACCAGTACCATGCTGTCTTTATCACCAGGGCAGTGTAGTAGGATTTGAAATCAGGGAGTGAGATACCTCCTACCGTTCTTCTATTCTTAAGGAGTGCTTTGCTTATTCGGGGCTTTTTTCCATTCCATACAAAATTGGAGATTGCCTTTTCCATCTCGTTGAAGAATGGGATTGGTATTTGTATTGGGATTGCATTAAATGTGTAAATTGCTTTTGGCAGTATTGCCATTTTGAAAGCTCTGATATACTTAATACAGAAATTGTTAAGAAGATTTTTAGGAAGAAACACTATAGACTGGTTGAATTCTAGTGTAATTTATTCAAAATATGCCTGGACCCTGTGATAAACAATTTACGGCAGGCCTCCTTGATCTCAACTGTCTTAAGAGGATGATTACTTGGTTATAATGTAAGAAAAGAATAAAGGTAGTTTCGTGCATAGTTGAAAATCAAGAAAGGTGTACACCAGGGGTTATCTTTTCTTCATGTGTAGTTGATCTGCATGCTGAGAAAATCATCCAGGGAGCTTGACCTTATGAAGAGGGTTGCAGCATCAGGATCAGAGCAGATTCATCAATAACCTGCATTGTGCCCATGACACAGCCTTGCTTGCTTAAGGTGAGGAGGACTTGAAACACTCACTGCAGAAGATCAAAGCCTTCAATTTTGGTTCTATTTCAGCAATCAAGAAAACAAAAGTCCTCATCATGATAGTTGGAAAAAAAGACAAAAGGTTGGAATTGTAAATTATTTCATCTTACTTGGGATCCACAATCAACACCCTTGCTAATCACAGTCAAGAAATCAAGACATGTTGCATTGTGAAAGTCTGCTGTCAAGGATCTCCCCAAAATACTAAAGAGTGATGAAGTCACTTTGAAGACCAGAATGCACCTGATTCAGACAATGGTCTTTGCAGTCAGTTGCTGTGCATCTGAGAGCGAAGCAAGTAATAAGGATGACAGAAGAAAAACTGATGCCTTTGAGTCGTAGTATTGGAAAAGCAAGCATATTGACTATAACGTGCACTGCAGAAAGAATGAACGTATATGTCTTGGAGAAAGTGCAGCCGAAATGCTTCTTGGAGGAAAAGATGCGGAAGCTTCATCTCATATACTTTGGGCATGTTGTTAGGAGAAGCTATTCCTTGGAAAGGAACATCAAGCTTAGAAAGGTGGAGTCAGTGAAAGAGAAGACCCTCAATGAGATGGATTGACACAATGACTGCAGCAATGGGCTAAAGAGATGATGAGGATGACACAGGATAGGATAGGATTTAAATCTGCTGTTTATGGGATGTTGTAAATTGTGCTTGACTCCATAGCAGCCAATAACAATGACACAAAGAGGGAAAGAAGATGGAAAACCAGGAAGGTTTGTTGTCAGAGCAAACTTAGCAATATCCAGTTAATATTCTTCCTTTCCATTTACTACTAGAAACTATTTATTACTTACTTGAGTTTGGGGGATTTTGTTTGGTTGGTTGTTTTTGTTGGTTGTTTTGTTTAAAAAAAAAAGTAAAAGCTTTTTCCAACAACAAATGGATGATAGAAAAATATACTACACTTACACAATGGAATATTATGTAGCATTGAAAAACAGTGAACTCATAAAGCAGTACACAACATGAGAAGTCTGGAGGACACTATGCTGAGTGAACTATCTTAGTCACAAAAAGACAAATACTAACACCACTGTTATAAAATAGGACAGAAGCTAGGAGTGGGGTGGGCAGAGAATGTGAAAAAAGTGGATAGATAATGAACACCGCAGTAGAAAAGGTGAAGGGTAGTACTCTCCAAAAGGAATATATTTATGACAACAATTAGGAACAAAGTGTGCATTGCTGGATGTGCTGGGGATGGGGCGAAAGGAGAAGAAGGAAAATGTGCAACAAAATGAAAATATTAGGTTTTTTAAAAAATCTCTATATTACAAGATCTTATAGCTGTGTAGGAGTTTTTGTAAGTGGATGCAACAAGAGATGCAAACTTCTGGGAAGAGTTTTGGTGTGGTTTTGTTTTATTTCTTTTATTTTCTTTTGCTGTGCTTTTATCAATACAAGGTGGTCTGTGAGTCAGCAGAGAAAATTCTTCCTAGCAGGAGGCACCAGGCAAGGTTGAGGTATTTATTATATTACTGAAATGGTACTGGTGTTATTGGCCCTGTTATTCTAAAAACAGATTTCTTTGAAATTCTGTCTAGTGAAGATGTTGGACAAACTTAGTGAAATAACTGTTTGGGCAGTTTAAAGGCTAGAGAAAAGCTAGAAAATTTTAAGATGGCATCTGAATTTGTCCAACAAAAATTAAAAGTGACAGTGCAGTTTCTACAAATCATGTAGACTGGGCTTGTCTCACATGTAAATAATTTCTTGAGTACTGACTGTCTGTAAACATGTTTTTAGGGTGAGAGAGGACCTGTTGGAGATATAGGTTTCCCTGGACCGGAAGGACCCGCAGGAAAACCAGTGAGTACTTCTTACCTACTGAAGTTTGCCCATTTGAAAAGCACTTTGGTCATTACCTCTTCGCGTGTCTCCTCAGAAAATTAAAACTTTGAATTGGTAATTTGTAGACAGCAGATGTTTCAGATGAGTATTTTGCAGAGGTCAAACGGTGGTTCTCATTAAGTATCCTACCTCCTTATATTACATGTTTATGTCTGAACCAGTGATCAAAACGATGGCATCGTGGTTTAAATACCAGGAAATGAGACTTATTCTTTTTAAGTCTAACGTGCTTGACAATTAAAAAAAAAAAAAAGCATGTCATATCCTAAGATATGAAGAAATCAAGGACTCACAGACATAATGTTTTTGTTGTTGTTAAGTGCTGTTGAGTCACAGGAAACTCATAGAAACCCTATGAAGGAGAGTCCTCGACGCTTGGCTGCCTTTCATCCTCTCTCCAGGTTCATAGGGTTTCTGGTAGCAAGCTATTATGGAAGTGGATGACACTCCTCCTTCCAAGCTTGTTTTCATTGGGGAGTTCCACCCCACTCCCTGTCTGCATTGGGTAACAAGCCATTAACACATTTGACACATCAGTGTCACAGTGTTCAGCCGCACAGCAACCACAAGTGACCGCAGGACAGCAGCTTGTACACCAGGGCTATATGACCTAGAGGAATGCACAGACATAATACCTGTATGTTAAGCCAAAGAGTAAAGCAGAAGCTCTTTTCTCAGGTTCTTCATCTTTCTCTGGGCCTTACTTTCACACTTTCATAAATCATTGCTGCCAAATATATCAGGCGCTGTGTCCTAAAGGAGCTGTTGATTACTGATATATTGCATCAATGTGGCATAGTAACAATCATTCCTACTAATTCAATTCAACATATATCCACCATGCTGTTTGCCAAAGATGTGCAAAGCCCTGAGGGAGAAGATATAAAGATAAATAAGACATGCCTATACTCTCAGGTTCATTCTTTATTGAAGAGTAAGGCATTTACTCTTGCTTATTTGCTGTGTTGCATATAGGAAACATCATGATCAACAGAGAAGAGATTGAAACTGTCAATGACGTCATCTTACTTGGACCCATAATCAGCACACTTGGTACCAGCAGTCAGGATATCAGGAGAGAGACATATTGTATTGGAAAAGTCTGCAGCCAAGCACCTCTTTAAATTACTGAGGAGCAGTTATGTCAGTTGAGGATTAAGGTGCATCTGATTCAGGCCATGGTCTTTTGAATCACTTCTTATAGTGACTGTGGTGATGGGGACAGATGTGTCCAAGACAGTGAGTGAGACTGGCTCACGATAGGGCAGGGTTCAGAATTATTGCTCATAGTGTCACTGGGTCATATACAACTCAAGTATACATACAACAGCATACTGCTGAGAGCTGGAGTAAAGATGACAGCAGCTTTTTTGAGTTTTGGTATTTTAGAAGGACACAGGCTATCTCATGGACTGCCAAAAGAATAAACAGATATGTCTTGGAGAAGGTACATCTGGAGTGTTCCTGGGGGTGCAAAGATGATAAAGCTTTACCTCACGTACTTTGGGCATGTTTTTAGAAAGGGTTACTCCTTGAAGAGAGACAAAATACTTTAAAATGTGGCAAGTCAGAGAAAGAGAGGAAGACCCTCAACCCCACTGACACAGTGACTGCTGCAGTGGGTTTAAGGATAGCACAGGATAGGACAGGGTTCAGATCAATTGTTCATAGGGTCACTGTGAGTTGTACTTTACTCAATGACACTAACAACAATGACAATAATACAGGAAGAGGGTATTTTTTAGGAAGAAGACTGAAGGTAAACAAACCACACAGAGTTCAGGAGATTGGTTTAGGACCTCTGGGAAACTTTGAGGAGCTTAGAGGCATAACAAGCTAGGTTTAAATTGTAACTCAGATAGGTTTTTGTGCTTAAGTGACATGAGATATGGAAAAACACTTCAAGTGCCTGGCTGTGGGAGTTGCTCAATAAATAAATACTGGTTTTGTTATTGGATCTCACAGTCTAGGTTCTTGCCTGCACTAGAGAAAGAATTCCACCAGGAGATTAGGGCTAAATTAAAAGAGACTGTCAAAGCCGTCTTTGTTGGGGAGATGCTGGACAGCAGGCCCACTGCAGAGTCACTTGGCACTCTATGTAAGGCCAGTGTTACTTGTCTTTTAGTACACGGTAAAATGTAGAATAAACTAGGTGTCCAATCAGGTAGCAGGACTCAGCTTATTATTTGGAACTTAAGGAGTATGTAAGCATGCTATTGGCTCCTCACGATGGAGCTGGTGTAGAGGATTCTGGGATGCACACCACCACATATGTCTGGTGCACATGTTCAGTATAGCCAGGTCTTCTGGTTTGGTTTCTCTGCCTGGTAGCTTTACATCCTATTTGAGAAGGTCACCTCTCAATGAGGAATGGTATCTCTGCCCATGCTGCAGGAACTGATTCAAATTAGCATCACTTCATACCAGGGTTTCAGGAAATTAATCTGTAAGGAAAATTGTCTATGACAAGGGGAGGTTAGCAAGCACCTGATGTTAATGGATAGCATGGTTTAAGACAATTACAAGAGATCCAGAGGGTCTGGGGTGAAGTTCCTAGAGGGGATGCATAGGTCATCACCAAGGGCTGTAGGCACTGATGCCTTCATAAACACATATGTGTCAGATATTGTTCTGGGTGCTGGAACCACACCAAGTTTGTGTTTGAGTATGGGGGACACGGACAACAATCAACAGATAACTACATGCACATTTCAAAGAGAAAAAAATCTAAGCAAAGTAAAAAAGTAAAGCATCATTGAAATGGGAATGAAAAAGCACTTAAATAGGAACAAAATAACTCAGTCACAGAACAAATACTGTTTAAAGTCACTCCCATAAAAAGGTAAGGAGAGATTTACACACTGAAACAAAGATTCTGTGATGGTTACCATGGATTGGAAGGAAAGATAGAGGAGGGAAAAACCAGTAAATAGTTAATAGAGACATATTAAGTTCAGTGAAAAGAAAGAATATATACATTAAACGGTGATACACACAATAAAGCTTAAAAAAATGAGAGACACAGAGAAGTACTACAAGAAATGCAGACAACAGAGGTAAACATTATTACAAAAACAACCCTGCCTTACTTAGTAAGAACAAACAGAAAGCTTACAAGACAGGGAAGACAAACTAGGATTACACCCAGGAGCATATATACCTTTCGCAGACAGTACTTTACATTCATATTTGTGTTTGTTAGAAATATATCCATAACTGTAATAAGGATCCAAAGTTGCATGTATTGCTTAATCATAACCAAACACCCTGAGGAAATGAGTTGCCAATCTTAAGACATCAGGACCATTGTCTGGAGCATCAAGGTCAGTCAGCATAACAAAGTCCACAAAGACAATGGTCTATAGCTCACATTGTTTAGTAGCATCTGGAGTTGGAGTTTTTTGTTTTTTGGTTTTTTGGTTTTTTTATTAATTGCAATGAACAAACATCTACAGAGATTTTGGACTTCCATTCATTCACTGTTGCACTTTTCTCCCGCCCACACCCCCACACCCCCAGTTCGCTCCTCTCCTTGAAAAGCAAAAGAAAAACTCCTTCATTTGTACACAATGCCCCCCTCCCCTGCACACCCCCACCCCCACCCCGAGTATACTCCACTCTGCAACCCTCATTCCGGACTCTTATGATAATCATAATGCCCTAAAATATATTAATTTTAAACTGTTTTCTCCCTCATCAGCTTCAATGCAGTAAACATAATTTATCCAGTTTTTCTCAGTGTTACCCCCACCCTGATGTGAGCCTCATTCTATAACAGTGGCATCTGGAGTTTTTAAGGCTTCTAAGTGGCCATCTTTGGAAGCAGGAGTGGCATCAATTTCTGTAATAGCTTGCCTCTGGAAACCCTATGAACCTGGAGAAAGGATGAAAATCACACAGTTGTTGAGGACTTTTGTTCATAGGGTCTCTATGAGTCGTCTACAACTCGACTGCACTTAACAACAACAAAACCACCAAAAGTGGCCATCTAAAGTGCGACTATTGGTCTCATCCTGTCTGGAACAAAGTGTGACAAAAGTTAAACATGCACAAAGACCATTAGTCCAAACATTTAGTGGGTCATGAGAATCTCAACCTTCACAACTCTGAGGCGGGAAAAACTAGGTGGTGCCTGGCCACTCTCAAAGGCATTACAGTAGAACAACTTGGGTGAGTGGAAGAAAAAGGAGGAACAAAACTCAAAATCATAAAATTGGCCATACTACTGGTCTGATAGAGACTGAGAGAGTATCATCAGACTATGGCCCTTAGCTGTTCTTCAAGCCTGGAAATAAACTCATCCCCATGGCCCAACTTTTATTCAAAAAATAAACAATTCTATAAGGTAAACAAAGACACCAGGAAGATACTCACTCATCAACAATACAAGATTAAAAAGGTAGCATCTTCCTAAGGATAAAACTCAGAAGATAGGAGAGGATAGAACAGACAGTAATAAAAACAAAGTTATATAGAGAGCCACAGCACCAGGTTCAGATTACTAGCAGTCTTGGACCAAAACTGTCTCAACTTCTCTTTTCAAACTTGAAATACATAAGAAGCCAGGCTCTCTGATATGGATCCATGTGTGAAATGCAAGTAGGCTACTGTCTGTAAGCATAATAAAGCAAGAGTGTGGTTACATGTGGGTATTATAATTAATGTCATAAAATATGAATAGTTGACTGAAAAGACAATTTATGCTGTAAACTTTAATTTGAATCCAAATTTAAAAAACCAATATATAACAAATAATTAATATAGTTAAAAATCTGCCATTTGAGCTGAAACTTGACGTGAGTGAAAGCTAATGTTCATTCTATTGTGTGGAAAATAGATTGTAGGGAGAAGGGCTAGAAAACTTAAGGGAAGAAATTGCCAATCTTTCTTCAGAAAAAGAATAAAGTATTGGAGCAACGTGGATTAACCTTGAAAAAATAATGACAAATGAAAGAAGA